CAGAGTAATATTATGGAGAAGTCTTCGAATGGAGATTTGCCGGAGATTGCTTTCGACTTCGATTCGGTTACGATTCTCCTTAGCTATCCCAGATATGCCGAGAATACCGAGCGATTACACTGGCACCACTGGAAGGTAAAAAATTTGTCATTGCCGGCTTGTGAGACCTTTAGTTTAATTAAAGACCTAAATCTACATCGTGCTAGTCAGTTCGGTCAATATAGATCATCCGAAGTGCCAACATTGTCAAAAGAGCCCGACTTTTCAAGAATTTAGGCCCAGCTACTGCACAGCGTCCTAGAAACTTGTAAGAATATTGAAGGATTGACTGCCTCTGCCAACCTCCTTAGTCATAGCCTCCCAATCTTGATTCATCTACTCCAACCACTTCCAGAGCCTTCTCGGCTCAGCATCTCTCTTATCTTTCCTCGCAGGTCTTGATTTCCTCATTGGATAATCATGCTCAGCAACTCAATTGTAGCGTTCTCCGACCTTTCCCCGTCGACAATAGAGTTGGAAGAAAGAGTCGCGGGTCGTGTAGTGGCCTTCTCGACATCAAAGAGAGGGTTGGAAGAATTGTTTGGCATATCGAAGGGGAGTGCGATATTCAACTTGAGCTAGTATCCACTTGATTGGTCTTGATTATTTTCTTCGTGATTGGCGTAGTCGAGAAGTCTCGGCAAACCATGAGTTCCGACCGTTCACAGCCCAGTACCACTCCTTCTGACAGGAAAAAGTCGATTCGATCGCTGAAGGGAGATGACTGAGTCTTGCCTCTGAGAGAATACTGCATTTTCGGGTCCGTAGACGGCACCATGATCAGGTTGTGCCTCTCTCTTACGAGCACGAAGTCTATGAAAGCCATGAATGTTTTTCCAATTTGATAGCGTGATGAAGTTTCAAGAGGATATTTAGTTTCACACTGGTCATATGCCACGCCTCGTGAAGCCACCGGCAAAGACGAATTCTTCATCTTCCAGCAGTGTCGGTAAAAGGATTATATTTGGGTAGTATGAATTGTTCTATGTAATTGTAGTATTCAGGTTGTCGTTAGGACACGACAGGGATCTGACATAGCTCATTCGCGAGGCGCTTGGAGTAGAGGAAGAAAGGGGAGATGGATAGTGGATGAAAGAGACATTGTTTTATATATTTCGAGATACCAGTTAATTGACTTTTTTCACCGACTTCGTGACGGCACCCAATTTGTATTACTTCGTGTTTTACCAACAGTCGGTATAAACACTTCGTACCCTGGCATACCTGCGATAGCCAAGACGAGTCGTATTCCTTCCTTTCAGGAGCTCCATCTATCCACGCGAGTACCAGTAGGCTTCATCTCATCACCTCGATCCTGACCAACCCTTTGATGAACAACTCCTGCGATTGTCTCGCGGAGGTAGAGCGAAGGCCTTCAATGATCAAAAATATACAAGTGGTGGTAATATCGATTAGAGTAGGCTGTTTGCAGAAGCGGTCTAGTGCTAGACTGGCCCTCTCGAGGCAGTAGATCAAACTCCTATGCGACTGATTTTAGATATGATTACGGCTGCTCGTCTTAACTGAGTATTAGAGGAATTGATGATATTTTACCAATAGTTTTCTCCTCGACCAGTGACGTTAGGGTCGTGGTGAATACGTCACTACCTATCCAACCCGATGTGAATAGCTGGCCCAAATTTGGGTATTAGGTATTAGGAGATACCGGGCTCATGAAGGCGACTCTTCAAAAGTCCGGTGATCACTATGCATGGGACAGACTAAATTTTCGCTTTCTGTCAATTGGCCTCAATGTACGTACACGTTGAGCTAATCCAATATTAATTCATTTTATTGTCCTGTCTGAGTCTATGACTATGTAGGACATGCAAGTCCTCTCTACCTACAGGCCAAGTATACCTATACCAGTAGTATATCCCCTCCTATGCTTCCCATACAACTCCCCTCAAACAGTACCGCCCCCCACGAGTCCTCATTCCATCATATACTTAGAGGAGCCCTTAGCCCTTTATTATCTCCCCTCTCCAGCCAACGAAACGATGGCCATTTGCGGGTATATGGCAGCCGGGAAAAATCGCAAAAAACCATTAGGTGCGGAGCTCTCCTAAACCCGAAATTAGGATTAAATCCGAAGACATAGTACCCCTTCTGGAGCGTTCGAAGAGATCGGCCAGCTAGGCGCTGCAGACTTGTGGGTACCTCGGAGAATTCACACTCTGCCTTTCTAGCCTCCTTCCACTCCTTCCCGAAGGTTGTGCTGAAATGTCAGAAAAGTCTTGACAGAGCGTGTTTACTGTATAGTAGCTTAGCCTAGCTTCTTTTGCGCCGTCCAGGGCGCTGGAAAGTTCCGTTGACTCATCGACAGAAGAAGCCCTCCTGGCTAATTGCCCAAAATCTTGGTCTTGGCGATCACAAAAAATCCAGAGTTCAAAACCCCTCGAAAATATCGGTCCCAGCATACTCTTCAGAGACCTCTTTCCCCTCTCGCTCCACATCTCAGCCGCCTGTTCTTCCTCAAGTTGTTTGTCCCATTAGAGCTACAGTCCCCCATAAGCCATGACCCAGGCTTTTTATTTTTCGACTTGATGTCCTCCTTGCGGGTTTTAATAGCGTCGTAAATATGTAGTGAGAGATGGCTGGAAATTAATGGAGCAAGCTTCTGTATGTAATTGGAGCAACTTCTTTATTGGTCGTCGAGGCGGGATGATGCATGGTTAGAGAGAGGTTGAGGACTCAGATGAGAATGGTAAGAGAGGTATTGTCGAGAAGTCGTCAAATGGAGATGTGCTTGAGGTTCCTTTCGACTTCGATTCGGATGCAATTCTTCTTGGCTATCCCAGATATGCAGAGCATACTGAGCCATTACACCGGTACCACTAGAATGTGAAGAATTCGTCTTTGCCGGCTAGGCTAATCCAATACAAAGCGAGAGGTTCCATAGTGAAGTTTGTATTGTCTGTCCTCCGCAGTTGAGAACAAAACAAACTTGGAGCTCGTGGTATTAGCTGAGTCATTATGAGAATGACTCAGCGACGGAGAAATGCACCGTACTGTGTGTCCAGATCACGGGTTACTGCGTTGAGAAGATTAGTGGGAATCACATCATGTAGTCATGGATTAGCATACTCTTAATACTAAGTGTTTCCTGTTAGGGCCAGAGAGAAGAACGGATATCTTACACCAGACTAAACAAACTCCATAGTCATTCTGTGATACTAATTACAGGCGTGCTGCGAGTCCCGTGTCTACCGTAAGCAACTTCACAACCACTACGCATGAACTCGTAGCACTTAGCGTATAACAAAAAGAAATACTTTCCAACACCTCCCAAAATATCTAAACCGTGAGTGTCATTTGTAGAATGGCATCGCAATTATTTATCGGACAGTTGCGGCTTACTATCGAGGTAAAGTCTAGGATGATTATCAATCCCTCCGTCGTTTATGCCATTTCACAGCGTAAAGTAAATTGGACCCGTCGTCAAATCCTGATTATTTTACCCGCCTTTGCCCGTGAAGACTTCAGATTACGACACCCCCGATGGATTTAGATATTTCAGATATTTACTCAGAGCCAACCCTCATCTAAAAATGTATTGGTAAGTAGCCATAAGAGCTTTTCTACCATCACTGCAGTCATTCGCCTGCACCTTTGTACGCGAATTAATGTGTCACGAGAAGCTCAAAATATTTTGTGACATGCCAACTTACACCCCTTCTGACTACTCGTATTTTGTTCTCATTTCTAATTTACATCCTGATCGGACGAAGCAAATCCATCTACCCAATCTCAGCGGTTTAGTCTTCGAAGATATTCATAGCGTCCTGGAAGTAAAGGATATTACCGTTCAAGCCAGAGTATCAAGTCCACAGATATAGGCTTGTCGTCAATAATATGTACCCTATTATAAGTGTCTCTTAGCGACACGTTTGTTTGAAATAAAGACATGTCGAGAGAGAAACACCGAGATGGATAGTAAGGCAGAACTTATCGCAGGATGGATCCCGGTACAGAAGATGGTGGACTTTGACTGCACCTTATTTCTGGCGGTATTCTTACTCCTGCATAAAGGTTACGTACGGCTAGAAACATTTTGTTCCCTGATATTGATTTGTATGATTTTAGGCGTGGCTGTTGCCACCTCAGATTCATGGATAAATTGGGCAGTTTCGCGAATCGAGCCAAGAGATAAAGATTGCTTAATGTATGATATTGTTTCATATCGCAGTGAAAAATACATCAGACAGGCAAATTGCCATTCCATTAATGTGCACACCGGAATCCAACTGTGCTACTGTTGTTGAAAGTATTGCTGCAGGAGAGGATTGTTTACGCTAACCTCACCGCCTTTACTAACCCTGGCTTATTGGCCTCAGGAATCATTTGGTGTCAGGTGCCATGACGAGTCTGTGAAACAGATCATATTGACAAAATTTAAGATTGTACAACCGGAAGAGCTCTGGAGTGAATTATCTTTAGGCGTACCAATATTTCGGGAGCAGCTATTTCCAGACTCAGTTCATAAATTAAATATCAATTCACTGACTAGAACCATAGCTTCAGCTTAGTTCAAAAACAGGTAAACTTTGCTTTAGATATCGCTCCTACTGGACTCCTTATAGCATTCAAAAAAGTATTCAATTAATGCCCAGTATGATGATTTAACCTCGTATATGGTTTACTGGAAAAATTAAGGGTTCGACGACCCAAAGTGAACTTTCAGAATGAATTCGGAGACATCGACTGATAGACTAGTATTTTTAACCGACCAGGCAAAGTCGACATGAAGCATATTTGACTTAATGCGGAGAAATCCCTTGCCAAATGTACATGAAAGTGTTCGATTTCTTAACTTTTTCGTCGTGTGTCTTTCCGGCAACATTTGGAGCGGTTGTAAGCCTCAAATTCTTTGCCAAACGATATAAAATGCCACGAGATATTTCCTTGAAGCGAACATCAAAACTTAATTTGCTCGATTTATTTTTCATTGACCCTTAACCTTAGATCCTACTGCTGCTGCTTATTTTCAAGGGGCTAGCCTCACTAGCGGTACTTTCCAAGACTAAATGAGGGGCTTGAAGACTACTTTGTGTGCCCGTAACCATTGATGTATGGTTATTTTCGGGTTGTAGTAGATAGGTAGGGCCGGGAGATTTCCATACCGGCCCACAGTCTTCGATCTCTGAAGTTCCAGTGGCCTCATCAGAATCACTTGGATCATTTTTGGCCCTAGAAACCTCACCTTGGGCCTCTTCGCGCATCTTTCTAATCTTGATGTAGTTGTAGGCAGCTATGGCGGCCATGGTGATTATAAGCCCAGAAATGTTGATCGGAGTAAGTCTATCATGGAAGATAAGGCCCGCAGCGGTGATAGTCACAACTTCTTTAAAAATTCCTGCTATAGAAAGGGTTACAACCGAGGTGCGTTGCAGCAGGGCAAATTCGGATGCCGTCATACAAAAAGCAATTACACCAGGGAAAAGAAGAAGCAATGGGCCAAACAATAGTCCTTTTTCGTCCAAGAGAATTTGAAACCCGACGTATAGATTTGTAAATCCTTCCACTGGTATAGCGAGTAAAATGAGACTGAGAAACATTACAGGAGCAAGGAAAAATATCGATGAGAATGGATTGGAAGTGGCAGGGTTCCGAAGTAAAAGTATTTGAGTTAGTCCCCAGCGGAATCCGGAGAAGAAAGCTGCTAGGATGACAAGGAAGAATCCAATGGGAGAGAAAGTTGTCTCGCCAGCGACCATCATTAAAACACCGAGGGTCATGGTAGCTATGATGAGAACAAGTCGTATCGAGGGATTTTCAAGGTTGAAGAGGAAAGCGAATAAGAGAACAAAAGCAAGCGAGGAAGACTTGCACATGGCTGTAGAAGATTAGTACGAGCAATTTTGGTGAAACAGCTAACTGACTGTAGAATGTGAGGGTAATAAATTTTAAGGATGTATTTCCGAGTCCAATATCTAGTCCAGTAGCAATGCCGCAGGGTCCAATTCGGGTCAGATAAAATTTATGGGTCATAAGCGGCTTTGGACTTGGTGAAAGGTCGGCATCGACGACAGGATCGCTGTCTTGGGGTGTTGAAGATATGTCTTTTCTCGGTCGAAGTTGTGGCCAGAGGTAAAGGACGAGACACGAGAGAAGAAATTGTACTAGCATATGAAAGCAGGTTGTGAAGAGTGGAAAGTGAAAGTTGAGATGCTTGGAGTCAAACATCCATTTGTTATACTATTCGGGTTAGTGACATCAGAGAGGCTAGAAGAAGAGATCCCAAACACACAATTGAAATAGAGAGAGAGAATATGTACCACAGGGCTATTAGAAGCCCGTTTACGATACTCTTCCTGAGCACATGGTGGTCTGCTTCTTTTCTCTCCTCATCAGTCACACGAGGTTCGTTCAAAATCCGTTGGTCTAATAATGTGTTTCTCCGTTTTCTCTGTTTCGTTTTTTTCTTGTCCCATCCTGTAAGACCGGTCTCCTCATCGTCATGTAATCCGTCGTCACTGAGATAATCTAGTGCTACATCTTCACTTGTACTTCCTTCTTCGAGGAGCTCAACGTCTGGGTTATCAGAATCTTCATTTGCAACACGAGTGAAGCTCATCGGGCCCTTTCGTTTCTTTCTGGTTTTTGAAGCGGTCATGCTAGGATCAACGCAGTTCATTAGACTGCTTCTGCGTCTTCTGTGACCGCTCCGTCCCGGTTCCATAATGACGAATAGATGCCAATTATCTGTGGAGCTGTAGCATTGGGGTGCAGTAGCTTTTCTCCCAAGTTAGGGACTGGATTTAGGAATCAAAGGCGACGTGATATTTTGTCGAGGTGGGTTGCCAACAGCAGTAACGATAGCGCAGGGACGTCAAATTGTGTCTTGTCCAGTGCCTGCAGCAGACGGGGGGCAGGGCTTTATGATCGTCCTGATTACCTCAGTTTTAGGCAGGGTGGGTGAATCTCATTAAACCACCATATGAGATAGGTAGCCCGCACCACCATAAAAATTCGAAGCACCACAGTAGCGGTTGTTGCCATGGTTCTAGTCAACAATGCGTTTGGCGATACAGGTGCGGTTTGGAGGTAGATGTGGTAGGCCCGCAGACTTGGTTGTGCTTTCGCTCCCTTACCAAAAGCATGTGCCACGTGATTTACACGGCACAAACGACATGTCTCTCCACGGGAACAAATCACTTCACAATGCAGCTAACTTCTCCATACCAAGAGACTAGTATGCCGGCCAGTCTGTAAGTGTGTGTTAGGCCCAAAACTTTTAACTATTACTTTGTCTCAATATGCTTCAATGATTGCGATTAGTTTGCATCCTGAGAGAAAGCTTTCATGTTCAAAATCAGCACTTGACCGCAATTGCCTTATCCTAATATCGGCCCGGAGTGGAGTCGATTAGTTCGGGTCCACTGCATTGACGGAATGAGTCTAGAATCGGGTCTACACGGAGGTGGAGATAATGTATGCCAATATTCACTTTTACCAACCTCCCTAGCATGGGACATGTAAGACTACAACTTACACCATGGCAGAAAGATTCGCTGGATAATCAGCCGTCTGGTTCAAAAAATTTCAAACCTTTCTATCTGGTGTTTGGCATATTGTACGTCGAAGTAACGAAAGGTTACTTGCACGGATTAAGCCATCTAATCGGAAGAAGCAACGCCCATGTGACTGAACAAATGGGTAGAGCGAGGAGCTAAGGCTTCGCAGACCCTACTGATGCAGGATCAGTGGAGTAAGTGGGGATAGTTGAGTAGATGCGCGACAACTTATGCCGCAGCACAAGCCAGCAAGTGACAGACGACAAAAACACTACCATAGATTGAAAACATTTGTATAGAATATCGCTAGTACTGCCGATCACCATATTCGACTACGGCATCGAACAGGTGATTAATATGCATAAATATCGACAACCTTTTTCGGCATTCCCCGCCCAACGAGCGAGTATGCGCGTTGCCAACCGGTTGACTTCCATGTACCGATAGATTGAAACATACTGGGGTACTTTACTTCACGAAAATGTCGTCTGTGTAGCCGCCGTCACCTTTTCCCACATTTAGTTGAATCATACATAGATGGCGGCGCTGATAGCTTTAATCTCCTTTCTCACATCGGTACATGTCAAAACTTCGGTTCGGGTGAGGTACAGAGTATGCAACATTAAGCATGATTGTTGTATGTGTGTTTACCAGAGTTTATTGTACGATTCGAGTTAATAAATATCTAACACATTGGGCTCCTCTTTGACCCAGGCCACACTTCTTACAGTGCTCCCTGTCTCTTCTGCTACTTCAAAGATCATTGATATATTGCCCATGATGAACAGCCATTCAACTCAGTATCTACCCGTGGAATTCAGCCATCATTTTCACGGAACCTTCTACCCAAAAAAAAAAAAAAAAATGGTAGCAATGGAATCTGCGTGCGCCGGAAAAAGTCTCAAAAAACCTGCCGCCCCAGCCAGGCGAGGCCTAGACACCGGGACCACATGAGGTGCGCATATTCATCTATATCTCCCTTCTTTGTGACATTCGAGGTCGACTTAATCCAATCCACCATCTCCGTATCGGGCGCTGGGTAAGCTCCGGAAACTCATCGGATGACTTTTCCTCCATACTTATGATTAGCTTCGTGATAGAGGTGACAGGGGGATGTTTTGAGAGATGAAGACGATATAGACCGCGAAAGCAGGTGGAAATCCGCATCGAAGTGAGGACAAAGGTGTTACGCAATTTCGGCTCTGTAGACTCTACATTGGGAGTTGGAGGTTCCAAGGGGTACCACTTAAAGGTGTTGAGGATAGCCCCCCCTGAGTGTTGCAGTTTTACGTCTATTGTCGCTACTCGTGCAATTCATTACTTGATACGATTCCCGGCAGCGAAACACTTCGCTGCAGACTGAGTGATGCGGAATTTTGATCGAGTACTCAAAGCCTCACCTGTGTTCAATAACCCAAAATAGTTGATCAGTAATGTTCTGTTTGCATCATCATCGTCATCATCATACCTTGTGATCCTCTCCACAGTGCATTTTCCGGCCTGATTGTACGGAAGCAGTTAACGAGTGTCAGCCTTCCCTGACCCCGTCTGGGGAAGTGAAATCTCTTCTCACGCGCAGACACGGGTGGATCAAGCCTCTAAAATGGGATGCGGATGGGCACATTTACTGGAACAAGGCGTCTTTCTCCCGAGTTTAATGGAGTATCTGCAGACTAAGACATGGTTTGAGATAATCTAGTTACAAAGCAAGAGATCCATCGTCCTCTAGGCCTTCAAGTGTTCTTTGTGGCTGAATTGGAAGGGGTGAGCGTTTCACTTGAGCCATTTCTACTGATGACAACGAGGCAATTACTAAGCACGCACTAGAGCGAAGCGAATAAATCCTTGACAGCGATGACGAGGGTTTACCGTGTCGGGCCTCTGAGGACTGTGACCGAGTCAGAAAGGGGGAGCATTTGGCCACAGTGTTGGTCCGCGCACTACCACTAAAAGTCGCGTTGAAGCGTGGAAAGTACGGGGTGGGAGAGAAAAGGTCAACGGGATTGTTCGGCGACCAAGGAGCTGACTTTGAACATGATGATCGCTGATCTCCGCGCGAGCACCACGAGTTTGGGGTTGCGAAGCGGATATCGGTTTCACTGAAGTGTCGCATCTTGCAAACAAAATTTCGTTGGATTTTCTAACTTTAGTCTCGCCATTGTAGACAGCGTGGCAGGACATGTGCAAGGAAAATCTTCGTCTTAGGGGGGTCTCGGGAGCTCACAGACCATGACATTCAATTGGCCGTTGGTCACTAACTTCGGCGACACCTTAGGCCCCTGGTAGCCGCACAGAAGGTGTCTCCTGTAATGTACTCAGGCCAGGAAATGCTGCCATCCCATCGTCTTGGGGTAGCATCTCGACCAATCGATCGCACAGATAGTATTCCGAGGCCGCCACGGGCCAGATGAAGAACGAATCCGAAGTTTGTCAGGATCAGGTCGTGAGGAATAGTTATCAGTCACCACCCTCGACAAGCATAAAATCGTCGCGGCTGCTGTGGAAAACTTCTACTTAAGTCTCCAACGTAACGACTCCTGACCGCATCCACTACCATGGGGTTTTAACTATTATATTAACTAGGCTAAATAGGAGCAGGACCATAGATACCCTTGGGGAAGTTATGCTCACAGTAGGTCTCGTTAATCGCTGTCGCGTGTGTTCTCGTGATATATAGGACTTATATTTATATTCCTTTTTAAAGAAAACTTATATGTTGCTCCGGACTTACTGTCTTGTTCACAGCCTAGTGTTAGAACATTCCTTCGTGATATCATTTCTCTCCTACGAGAAATGACCATCTCGCTCTCCATCAGTCCATCAGTCTCTCGCTGATTACATTACCTCTATTCTATCGAGATCTAGTTGGGTCCATAACATCTACATATGCATTACTCACTAAACACCTCACGGTTTTGTTGCATCACTTTATCATTGCATAAAAATCACCCACTAAAAGACACATCATCCGATGCAATGGCACCCGCTGTTGCATCGTCATCATCAACGCCTTCCAATCCCGGAGGGCAACTCCATCTAAGTCTGCTAGGCATTGCGAATGCAATGAAGAAGGCAGAACACGAAAGAAAGGAAAGAGTTGGGCTTGCCCAAGATTTCCTAGAACTTATCGACACCTGGGCTAAAACCAAGACGGACACAAACGCGTCAACAATTCTGGCGTCTTTAATTGCAAATATCGCGCCCATCGTGACCCATTTTGCAACTGGCTCAATGGAAAATTATGAGACCACTAGTAAGGTCCCGAACCCCCCATCAATCTCTTCAAGACCAGTGACACACAAGGCAATAAGTACTCCTGTCGCTCACTGTAGTGCTCTACCCGGTAGACCGTCAGAGAACACCTCGCTCTGGGTTACAGTGGCCCGAAAAGCAGCCAGGCTACCTGACCCACCTGCTATCCCATTACCAAGAAGACCTGTCTCACAGACAAACCAATCAACGAAATCGAATCCCAAGGTCGACAAACGCCTTTTCGTACGGTTAGATAGAGACCATGAATGGCGTCGGCTCTCACCGATCACCATTAAGAAGATGATCACTGAGCGTGCAGGAGTTGCACCATCAGCTATCATAACAATGCACCCAGTTCGTTCGGGTATCTCATTTGAGTGCGCATCTGATGCACTTAGGGAAACTATCCTCAGTACAGGATCATCTTTCCAACAGGATAACGTTGTCATTGAGGCAGCATCAGAATGGATATCAGTGTTGGTACCACACGTGCCCCTTTTCATTCGGACACTGGAAGGGAGCATTACAGTCACCAATGAAATGGTGATAAGTGAGTGCCAATCAGTCTGTGGCGCGGTTCCAATTCTAGTACGCCAATCACCGACAAAGCTGGGACAATATTCTACCAGTTGGCTTGTACATTTCCGCCAAAAACCATCGAACCTCAAGTTTAGACTGTTCGAGAAAAATGGGCCGGCAATGCCTTACACGCGACAGCGCTCCATTGAGCAATGCCAGCGCTGCTGGGGATTCCACCCCGCGCGAATTTGCACTAAAAGCCAACGCTGTGGACGCTGTTCGGATGTACACGAGACTTCAGAGTGTCAGGTCAAAATTCCTAAATACTCTAACTGCGCGGGTCCTCATGACTCCTATGAGCTTAAATATATGGCTAGGCCTAGGCGCCAACAAG